AGCACTGAAGAGGGCAGAGGGTAACTCACCAATTCATACTACCTCAGCCCCCTAAATTTTCAGGGGATGCAGCCTTGTGTTTTTCCTATCTAAACCTAAACCTGTAACAAAACCCTGGGAATGCACATGCCAGAGCTACAAACTACATTCAGTGCCAAGGTACCAGTTCATCTGACACTACACAACTGCCTTGAACCAAACCAGAACACTGCAGCCAACCCCATCCTCAGAAAACACCACAACCTACAAAAGACATTCTGGGAAACTCCAGATTAATCACAGCTCAAATTTGCCCATGAAAAGAAGCCCATGGATCACCCAGCTCAGTTTTTCAACAGACTTGCCCCTGCAGCATTCCTGCCAGCACCTTGCAGTTATTCCCCAGTCTTCATTTTGGGGAGAAAGAGACCAACATGCTCACACAGATAAAAACACCTAGGAAGCTGTCATCTGACCACACCATACTCAAAAAAACAATTACACACAGCATGAGCCGGCCCAGGGTCACAATCTTTAAGACCTTTGGGTGAAGACTGGAAGGGAAAGCTTGATCTTCAACCCTGTCCTCACCCTGGCAGGCAGCACTGAGAGAGTGCTCTTTGATAGAAGCTCTGTCTGGGCTGGCCCACAAACTAATTTGGAGCACGTATAAACCTCTAAAAGACAGTTTAAGAAGAGTCTCTGATGCAGACAGAAATGGTAATTATTAATTTTCTAAATAGAAATCTGACTACTTAAGCCTTATTTAAAAGCATGCCTGTCTCTGTAATTACACAGCCTTAATTTGTTTTCTTTACTACACAATAAATAAGGTGTGCACAATTACCTCTGCAAATACAAGGCAATGCCTCCTGACTGGCTGGTTGAGGACACAGCCGCCCAGGAAAACATTCCGAGGAAATCACAGCCTCTTAAGGACCTGCTCCCAGGAAAGGGTGACTCAGGCACTGCAAATACCGACTTGTCTGGCTATAGGCACAGGCTGCTGGGGCCCTGCTGTCCTGCATTTACAGCTCTACTGTCCCACAGCCAGTGCAAGTCCTGTCCTCGCCTGTGCTCCAGTTCCTGGAGCACTGTGAAGCTCAGTTCTGCTGTGGACTTCCCAGTGTCTAATGAGGAACATGTTAATGCTGAATTATTCCCCACAAGGCACTACAACAACTTCTCTTTACTCTGCCTGGTTTCATGACATGTGTAGAAGTTGATAACCTCCTGACTCATAACCTTCTAGCAAGTTCAAATAAATTGGCCAAAGGTTTCCAGTGTCATTAGGAGGACAGAGAGAGTGAGAGCATGCAAGGCTCTTTCCTCACTAAGCTGTGCTAAACACAGCAGCACAGTAAATATGTATTCAGACAGTTTATATTTCTCAAATTTAGGAACCATACCATCCTAGAGTTTTCTTGTACAGCCTCAAGCCAAAGACTGAGGTTTTCTGTCAACACAAACATTTCCTCTGCTCAGCTGCATCACCTGCTAACACTAACACCCAGAAACCTTGTCTACAAAGGCTCAGCCTTCCACAGCCTAGACCTGTTGGTCCTCACATCCAGCATATGAGATTGTCCAGGACCATCCCTGTAATAGCCAAAGGGCTGTCAAACATGCACAGAAATTGGACCAGGAACCTACCAATGCAACTTCCCCCAGTGAGATGATCTCCAGTAAGGGTACACAACACTGGAATATATTCAGCTTAGATCAGACACACAACCACCCCTATTCAGCACTCAGACAGTGTTTGTTTTAGAAGGCTTGAACTGTCTCAGCCCAACCACCAGCAGAACAGGTAGATCCATGCTGCAAAACTCACTGTTATATTTTAGATTGTCTCTGTAGCAGTGATAGACTTCACATCACCAATGATCAGACTGGCCATGGAGCCCTAATTGTCCTCATTCAAGGAGAAGGAAGAGGAAATTCTATTTCCTCCAGAAAGAGAGCTATTTCTAGATTCACACCTCTGGCTCACAGTCACCCACTGCTCCTCCACTGATTACATCAGCCTCAAGCCCCTTGCACTTCATACAGCTAATTTCAAACCTTAAAAGGACAGGCATGACCCTGCCAGGCTGCACATTGGAGCACTCTGAGGTCTACCACTTGAGCAGCTGAAAATCCCCTTCATGGGTTTCCCACCTTTCCTTCCTGCCTCTTCCTGTCAGGCTGCACTTTGGAGCACTCTGAGATCTACCACTTGAGCAGCTGAATGCTGAAAATCCCCTTCATGGGTTTCCCACCTTTCCTTCCTGACTCCGTGGTGGGAAAGGGGGAAAAACCAAGCCAAGTTTCACCCAAACCCTCACAGACCTGCGCTCCTGCAATTAGAGCTGGGATAAGTGATCTGCTTGTGATTGCACAGCTGGGGTCTGAAGACAAGCGCGTGCACAGAGGAAGGGCCAGAAATAGATGTTACTGGGAGAAGGCAGAGCTATCTGGCCCATCTGAGAGGAGGAAACCTTGATGAAAGGCACTGGGAAAAAACTCAGTTCAGCAGGAAGTTTCAATTTAACCCAGGATGGGAAGGGAAGCGTGTGGGGTGGAAACCAGCTTTTGAGGCCTCAGAATTTATACGTGAGTTTCAAGTGAAAAAAACTGCTCAGACCCAGCTTACAACACCCTGCAAAGGTCCAGCCTAGGGCCCCCACCACCCTGTGCCAACCATCCCTGCCAGTAAAGCCACTCTGCCATTTATTAGACACATTTGTCACCTTATTGACTCCGCTCCACCAGCAACCATCCAAACAGCCACCAAAGGAGAAAGAAAAACAAAGTGGCAGCAAAAATGTGTAGCAGTAACTCAACAAGCCCTAAGCACCATCCCACGGTCCCAGCCCTGCACTTAACCCCACCACGAGAGGATGGGGACAGTATCCTTCACTGCCACCCACTCCTGTACCTGGCTAAGGCAGCCCAAGACTTGCAGCAGAGTGACATTTCCATTAATCCTTTTATCCCTGGTTCCTATGTGCAGAGGCTGCAGGAAATGTCAGGCCTTTGAGCTGAGCTCCCAGGGAGGCAGAGCAGCCAAGGAGGCACCTTGATGTTCTGGCAGGGTGCTGAGGCCATGGATGGGATCCCAGGTGGCACCAGGCACCTGCCAGGCTGTGCAGAGCCTCACCAGCCACCCTGGCTGCAAGGGAGCATCAAAGGCATCGTGGTCTGAGAGCCTTTGGGAAGCCACCAGCCCTGCAAGCACAGGTCTCCATCCTCAGCTGTCCAACATCCCTCACAGGGAACATCCACACTGCCAAGCCCCAGGAACAGCATCAAAACCCACTGGCAAACACCAAGCAAATAATATACTTACTTGCCTGGAGCTCCAAAAGGCAAGGAAAGAAAGATGTTAAGAACATGATCAATCTTACAGGGCCCAAGCAGTAAACAAACACATATTTCATCACCACGTACCAATCCTAACTCTTGACAGAAGATGGATGTGGGGTTTTTTCCACTCACAAAAGTAATTCCAAAAGACAAAAACAAACACTTTGGGGAAAAGCAGCAACAATTGCCTCTGTACACATTAATGGCACATTCAGCCTCAAAGCTAGCATACATGGCCTTCTAAACTCCTACGACATCCAAACTAATTTCATCAGGAATCAAATGTTATTCATTTTATCTGCTAGATACATAAACAGCAACTGCACAATTGACAAACAACCGTCAAAAAAAAAATATAAAAATCAATTGAGAGTGGTTCAGAGAGAACTGCTTCCCAGGAACAAACAACTACAGAAAACACAAAACAAATGCTACAAATCAAAATAACAAAGAGCAGAAATCAGGAATATCCCAGTGGTCAGCATTAACGAGGGTTTCTTATGAAAATATGCAATTCTTTAAGCTCAAAAAGGCTCAGTTCATGTTCACAATGCCCTCAACTATTCATGTCCTTTGGTACTGCAGATCTTCTATTTAGCAAGTACTTTACTGTCACTTAGCAACTGTAAATGGTTTTCCAAAAAGGAAGCTTTTGGGGTTTTTCAGTTCACATCATCTCTGAGCAGACATCAAAAGACAAATGCTCTGCAGGTCGCATCCATCTCCTTGCCCCAGGAAGGAGTCTGTATCGATGGCCCAATGCACCCACACACTTCAAATGAATGCACTTTTTCACTGAAGAAGCCACTAGCACTGCTTTCCAAAAAGCAGGGATAAACACTCCCATTCAGCCCATCAGATGGTGCCCCAGGCCAGGGCCTCTCACCAAACCCTTTTCACCTTTCATATCTACAGTGGAGCAGAGAGGGCTTTGATCTTGGGCACAGCCACTTGGTCAAAATATTTCAAGCCCACGGAGCACCTTGCACAGTGGCCTGAAATTCAGGCTTTGCTTTATCACCTTGGGAAAAATAAATACACATCTAGAAAAGAAACTAGTGCACTTGGCCTCAAGGATGTGGAAGTTCCCCATGACACCACTGTCTAGCTAACAATGCCCTGGCAGCTGGACACTTGTGTGATGTCCCAGGATAACAGGGCTTCAGCCTCTCCTGCACAAAACATCCCTATCCCAGACCCAGTTTAAGAAGTCAATAATTAGCAGCAGAGCTGGCAGCTCCACACCCCAGGATTTGTGTCAGAAAAGCAGCCTTTGGTTAAAAAGTAATGAGCAGGGCAGGCTCTGGCTGTGTGCTGGGGCAGGCGGGTGGCCGCCCCCAGACTCGGCAGAAAGGGAAACGCGCAGCAGCCACCGGGCTGTGACGAGGCAGCGCTCATCAGAGCTGCCATCAAAGCCAGAGCAGTCATTAGGAACCCAAACCCCCTCAGCTTCCCAGCAGGAGCTCTCCCCATCCTGCACCACAGCCCATTCCACTCCCCTGTGCAGTTTGCTTTCCATTTCCTGCCCTTTGCCACCTCTGCCTCTCTTTCCCCGTCAGCATTCCCCTTCCCTCCCCATTGCTGTCCCCCACAGGGACTTTGGGGATCTGCCATGGGAACCACATTTCCACAGGGAGAAGAGGCAAAAGGGGTCAGAAGCTGATGGCACTTACATATAGTGCAGGTGAGGGTTCTTGGCAAAGGCTCTTGGCTGGATGTTTCGTAGACCTGAGTTCCTGATTGTCCTGTGGAGAGATGCAGAAGGGCAGCAATGGAGTCAAGGCAGACAATTGCTCTAAAGCCCAGCTCAGCACACCAAGTGTGCTGGGAGCCTGCAACTCCACCCACACCACTCCCAGGAGGAACATTTGTCCCAGACAGCCTCGAGGAGCTACGAGCAAAGAGGAATTCTGGATTTTCATCTCCAACTGATGTGGTGACACGGCACAGGCTCAGTGCAGAGCGGCTGCTGGATGAGACTCTGCTCCTAACATCCACCAAGGCTTGCTGAGGTTGCACAGGACATCTTCTGCTCTCCCTCCATCTCCACAAGTAGCACTGCACAGCAAACCTAACCACAGCAAAGCCATCTCCCATCTTCATACACCAGAGGAAACCCCACTGCTTGCAGCTCTGATAAGGAAGGGTATTTTCCATAGGGAATTCGGGATCTTAAAGGGGGAAGAATCCTTTTCACAGCCTACTTTGGAAAAGCTCTATCAGTACTATGACCAGGATTTGTCAATACTCGCAAACACATGGTGTGACTATTGAGGATGGTCCTGTGCAGGGCCAGGAGTTGAACTTGATGACCTTTGTAGATCCCTTCCAGCACAGTATGTTCTGTAATTCTGTAAATATCTGCTGTCTCTGCTGCTTTGTTACGTGAGGAGAGAACAACAGCCAGCCTGCTTACAAGGGTTTTGTGTGTTAAATTACAGCTTGCTGGAATTTGGTTACTGAGTGCTCAGCCCTATACAGCTCCTCCAGCCCACATGGGAGCTGTACTTAATGTAAAGCTCCCAGTGAAACACATTATTAGAGTCTCTGATTAGCCCTGAGCAACACTCTGCATCTCAGACATGCAGCATCCAGGGTGCTCACAGACCCAGAGGATGTAGGAGGGGGAATTGAGAGACTGGGTGGCATCATTGCTTGGCCAGGCTTTCCAAGCATATGCAAAGTCCCTTCAACCCCATGGACCTCAGCTTCCCCTCCATGACGCACAAAGCTGACCTGTCTCCATGCTCGGAGAGCTGTGCAGGGAGATGCAATTCCCTTATTGCACAGCACCACCATGATGGCAACTGCACTAAATGAGGACCAACAGCCCAGCAATGAAGGATTGGTGGAGACAGCTGGAATTTCACATTGTGGGGCTGGAATGAGTCAGAGCAACACACAAGCCCAGAACCAGAACAGCAGGGGAGAGGAGAGGTCAGGGCTGATGTGTGTTGACAGAGCTGTCAGGAGCTAGCAATCCTCCTCCTCACAGACCCAGCCAAGACCAAAAAGCATTTCATCTCCGTTTTGCAGTCTCCCATAGCAAAACACGGTAGATCCAGCAGCTTAAACTGGCAGCATGGAGGCTGCAGAGGGAAGGAAGCCATGGCTCTGCTGGAAGGAAGGGGCTGCCCCGGCCCATTCCCCTCCCCAATGCACAGGACATACTCACAGCCTCTGGAGTCCCGTGTACAGCTCCATGTCAACGGCGTTCAGTGTCTGCAAGTTCTTCCAGTTCTCTATGTGTCTGTGGAGAAGAAGGAAAGGCTCAGCTGTGGCACAACCAGATGGTTGCTGAGCCCATGCCAGAGACAGCACACAGAGGGAGGGTGTCATACCCTACCACCCAGCCCCATTCTGTTTCCCCAGCCTTTTGGAAAAGTCAAATAACATGGGTTTACCCACAGTTTCAAGCACAGAACATGCAACCAAGCCATGGAATATCATCGCCCCTCTCTGCACACATCAGTGAACAAAGGCACAATTCAAATGGGTCGTGCAAAAAGAGTGAAAGCAAATAAAACCTCTCAACAAAAACTTAGGGCCTAAATGAAAAAAAAGTCATATATTTATCCAGGCTCCAACTGGGGTGGATAAACAGGGTCCTAGTCTTTGCTGGCTGGAAGCACTGCCGGCAGGAGAGCACCAAGCCCAGTTTGGAAACAGTGCCTTTATTACAAATTCCTCAGTCGCCTGGGGCAGTCTGGCAGGTATGTTATAGAGAACAAAAACAGAAATAGATCTGTCACCTCAGGATCGTTTTCAGTAAATATTAGAGACGGGGGAAAGTGACAGATCAGCAGCCCCAGAGAACAGGGTCCCCTGTTATCAGCAGCACAGGAGTAATGCTGGCAGCAGTGTGGCTGCCTGGCTGCGGCCACTGGCCTATCCTAAGTGGCTGCAATGCTGTGTGGTGTGAAAGGAGTTCAATCCTCATCTCCCAGGCAGTTTTCAACCAGTTCTGGCTTTCTCCCAGGTTAAACTCAGACACCCTCCCACCAGAAACACAAACATTTTCAAGAAGGTCTTTTCTGAGAAGCAGGTGGAGGTAGTCCTCTCTAAAAGCCAACTGAGAGAGGGAAAACATCTGGCAGGTCCCATCGGACAATATGTGAAAGAAGCCCAACTTTGAAGTCTCTGAACATGTGCACCCAAGCTCACATCTGCCTTGATGCAATAGTTGGCTTTGGACTTGACCCTGGAGAAGGAAAACATCTCCAAGTGATGAAGGATTGGAGTGAAGAGAAAACACTGAGAACTGTGCTGTGATTTTAGGCAAGAAGGTTGCAGGACCCCACATGGTGAGCAAGCAGAAGAGGGATCTTAGACCACTTACAGAGCAGTCACAGGGGCCACAGATTCCTCCTCCAGCATTTGCTATGCCTTGTGCTTGCACAAGAACAGGTGAATTATCACGAGGGAAATACATGGACCTACTTGAGCCACTCCCCAAATAACATCCATCTCAAAAAAAGTAAAACACAAAGCCTGGATTAAATCTCCTTATATTTCTCTGCTCTCACCATGCAGATCCAAGAAAGGAGAGACCCACAAGAGTCATCTCTGCTTTCCATGTGTTCCATAATTTGTCTGCATGCCCAGAGGGGTTATGCTAAGGACACAGCACAAGCTCCCACATGCTGCTGCACGACAGGATAAGTCACAGTTCATCCCCAATGCCCTGCTCATCAGCTCAGATCGCCTGTGTCCCAGACAGAATGAGAATCAGGACATTATTACAGCCACTTCGTGTTCCCTGCCATTGTCTACGGCCCCTGAGAACATTTCCAGAACAAAACACAGACTGGGAGGAGTCAGTCAGGAGATCCAAGAGCTCAGTGAAACTCTGGAGTCAAGGCAGGGCTGCCAGCTCAGGCCCTGGGCCGTGAGATTGCAGGACTGAGCAAGGCCAGAAGCAAAGGCTGAAAATATTTCCTATCTGCAACCCCTCCATAGCAAAGTGAGTGTTCTCGAAGAGAAAGGACATGGGAAGGAGGAATGGGATGATCTTGGTTTACCACCAGGGCAAGCTGCAGCTACAGCATCCACGCAATGACCTTCAGGGAGGGATGGAACAGCCCCGAGCCAGGAGTTATGGAGCAACCACAGCTGGGAAGGAGGCGGCGGCCAGATTGGCTCTTGTTTTATTGATTGTGTTTGCTAAAAAAAGTCAAGGTTATTTTTGACCTGACACTCAAAGCCATGTGGGCAGCATTCTAGAGGAGACAGAAAAAGACCTGAGCTCGTTCCCAGTGACATGCCCAGGCGTGAATTTCCTGTGACTCAGCAGTGGTGCATGGGGGTCCTGGGGCCTCCCCATGGCATCCCCCACTCCCCCCCAGTGACATAACACTAGGCTGTAAACACAGCTCCGCAACCTGTATTGTATTCCAGCCTCCCAAACAAAGCCCAAGAGCTTCCTGAGCCAGATATACTTTAGTTCATTATTTAACATAGACATACCACACCCATAGAGAGACAAGAAACACAGCAGTGGAAAAACACATGCACACACATATAGGATAACCCCCCAAACCAGCAGCTGCTTTATGTAGAGTGCAATGCAGGGAAATAACAATTAGGTGCACAGGTCAGCAAGGGTCTTTGAGTCCTTTAAATTACACAAACACCACCCTTCTCAGGGAATTGCAGAAATGGCTTTTCCCCTTTTCTCTCTGATTTTTCAACTTAGCATGAGTTGTACCCTTGCTTCTAGAAGTGACAAATCAGTCTTGGTTTTCAGGCACCTCAAAGATAAACCAGCAAAAATATTTTCTTTGGTTTCCTATTGCTATAGAGAGAATAGTGTAACTTTGCACTGGATGGGTTCACCTGAACCCACTTAAAAAACAAAACAGAAATGCATCTTATTCTGAAAGCTCAAGGAGTCAAGCTGTGATTGCAAAATTGGCAGTGGTTGCACAGAAAAGCAAACCAACCAAGCAGAGAAACTCCACCCCTCAAACTTCAGTCCCTTTCATGTCCTTCAGTACCTCAACTAGCTCCCCCTCTTTTCCTTCCAGGGTTTTGCTTGCCCTAGAAATCTTGTATCCTCCCACTTGCTGCCAAAGACTGAGACCTTCCCTCCTCCTCTGCCTCGGTTCATTAACCCGGCAGGAACATGGGTGCCTGGTTCACACCAAAAACAGCTGTGACAGCTCCCAGCCCTGCCCTGGTCTCCTCAGGCAGGCGTTGAGGTATGAATTACAGTCAGTGGACCACAGTTTACTCCTCCCTGCACATCTCTAAGTACATATTCCTGTGGCATTCCTCAGTTATTACTAAGGCAAACTGCTCTTCTGCAAGACCCAATAGCTTGAAGAGCATTACCATACTTCACAAGTCCTGAGGAGCTCACCACGTGCAGGCCCACCTAGACTCACATCCAACTCCTAATCGAGACCATATGAGGTGCATCACTAACACAGATGATGTTGCTGACTGATTTTCTGGGTGGAGAATGGAGGGTAGGGCATGTTTGTTTAAACACTCACTTCCTTCTCATACTTCTTGTATGTTAGAAGGGTCCTGCTGGTCCAAGTCCCCTTGCTTGCACTGCAGAGCTGAATTACACCATACCTTCTAAAGACCAAGTAAATTCCACCTTGGAAGTAACAAGGGCTTTGCCATCCCAACTCAGACTGAAATGCTGCACCTCTCATTCCTTACCCAAATATACTCACTTGCATTTTACATCCATTTTCTCTTGTGTCAAAACTGCCTTTGCTTAAGCACCTCTTTTTCTTTCCTGGCACTTCTTCCTCCCCGCTTTACAAGCAGGAGCCAGGCCCACCCAGCTATCATTTACAAGCTACATGATGCCAGGTCTTCTAAGGCAGCACATCTGTACCTGTGAAGTGCAAGGCAAATTGTCTCAAGTGCCCTTAGAGACACTAACTCACGTCCCAGAAGTGATGCAGATATATTGCTCAGGCAGAGTCCTGGCAGCGAGCTTATTTTGTTTCTGATTTCAGACCCAGCACAACTAATGCTCATACTTGGTGATCAGTGCAAGAGGAACCACTGTGACAGACACATAGAAATGGCTGTTTGCTTTATCAGCCTCTTTAAGTCCCTTTTCCTTGAGCAAGAGTGACCAGAAACACAGAGCAGTCTCCAGGAGATCTCACTTGTGCAACAGCATGAACAGCTCCCCAGTTACATGGAAAAAACCATGATTTGCAGCCTGAGATCACAGTGACCCTTATCACAGCCCCATCAGCCAGGAGGCTTGTGTTTACCCCATTATTAGGCATTGCACCCAGCATTTCTGTCCAGCAGGTCATTTCCAACAGACATTAATTCCTAGCCTTGTTACACCCACATTTATATCCACCCCACTTGGCATTGCAGTGTCTCTTGGGTTTGTTACTGCAGCTCTTCCTCTGGGCCACCCTCAGGTGACTTTGTGTCCCCACAGCTCCAGCAGCAAAGCCCATGAGCACATTCCTGCCTCCTGTGCCAGCATCCTCAATAAAAGCATGAGCCAACATAACCTCCAAGCAGCCTCAGCACTTCTCATCTTTCAACACCTCCCACGAAGACTTCACCTAGCACACCTGGGCCAGACAGCATCTTCTCCAGAAAAATAAACCACTTGTGATGCAGTGCAGCATCATATCAGCCTCTCATCACAAAGTCATCTCTTTGCTGAGGAAATCAGCTGCCTTTCCAAAGGAATGCATAGGCTTAGCCTGACAAAAACTAACCTTGGGACACCAACCCTGCGTCACATCTCATGTACCCACAGACATGCTTTAGAAGGTGTTGAAAGCCTTGTAGACCACTGCAGCCAGACCAGTGGTCAGTCCCCAGCTCTGTGCTGTGTCCCAGTTAACAGCAAACCCGTGAAGCATGAAACCCTCTTTGTCAGCTCAGCAGCTTGCAAGCATCTCATCCCTCTCACAGATCCCCTGTGGAGCCAGCAAGGCAGCCAGGTGTCTTTGGCTCAGCATCACAGAGACAGAGATCAGTGACCTTGCTGACCCTAAAGTCACCAACTCACAGGGTTTAGGTACCAGCAGGTCTTGAAAGTTCCAGGACCTTGCCCTGCTTGCTGGAAGGGGGCTGGTAGCCAACAGACCTGTGGGAACAGCAATTCCTTTCATTCCCAGAAGGAGTGCCTGTGTCTGACAAAAAGATGACAGGCTGGTGTCATCTTCTTGAGGCTGCACAGCTCCACATGCTCCCCTTCCAGCCCAGGGCCAAAGCAGCAAGGGAGACTGGAATATCCACTGGATTCAAACA